AAGAAACCCACTTCTGATTGGCACAGGCTGAAAGTAAAGGAGTGGATAAAGATACTTCATGCAAATGGTGATGTTAAAAAGAGGGGTAGGAGCACTTACTAGACAAAATAGACTTTAAAACAAAGGCCATAACAAGAGACAAAGGACATTTCATAATGGTAATGGGATCAACACAAAAAGAATATAACCCTCAAACACTTACATATCCAATATAGGAGCACCTAAATATATAAAGCAAATATTGACTTGATGGACATGAAGGGTAGTGGTGGGAGAGAAATACAGTCATAGTAGGAGACTAATCTTAAATCTAAAGGAATTAGGGGGGAAAAAAAACAAAATCCAAAGTGAATAGAAAGAGGAAGTAGTAGATGAGTGGAAATAAGTGAAATAGTTTTTAAAAACAATATTCAATGAAACCAAGAGCTAGTTCATTAAATGAAATTGATAAGCCTTTAACTGGACTTTGAGTTCTTTTTTCCTTGATGAAAAAAATAAAATGAACATTAAGTGACACCTGACATCACAGAAATACAAAGTATTACAAGAAAATCCTATGAACAGTTATATACCAGCAAATTGGACAACCTGGAAAAATTGGATAAATTCCTAGAAACACAATCTTCTAAGACTGAATCAAAGAAATGGAAAAGCTGAACAGACTGATTACAACCAACAAAATCAAAGCAATAATAAAACTCCCAACAAGCAAGTTCTGGACTGGATGGCTTCACAGGTGAATTTTACCTAACATTCAAAGAGGAATTACCACCTGTTCTCCAACTATTCCAAAACATTGAAGAGGAGGGAAGGTTTACAAGCTCATTTTATCAGGCCAGCATTACCCTGATTCCAAAATGAGATAAAGACACTACTAGCAAAAAAATTATAGACCAATATTTCTGATGAAAAAAGATGCAAAAATCCTTAACAAAAATATTAGTCAACTGAATTCCCTGATAGATTATAAAAATATGAAAAATGGGATTCATCCTAGGGATGCAAGGATGGCTGTGCATCCATAAGTAAATTAAAGTGATACACCACCATAAAAAAAATGAAGGATAAAAATCATAACAGAGAAAAAGCATGAGAAAAATCTAACATCCATTTTTGATAAGAATTCTCAACCAATTGGGAATAGAGGAAACATACCTCAACATAATAAAGGCCATACATATATAACAAACAGAAAGCAACATCATACTCAGTGATTTTTAATATCAGGAACAAGACAAAGATGTCCACTTTTGTTGAACATAATATTGGAAGTCCTAGCCACAGCAATCAGACATGAAAAAAAATAAAGCATCCAAACAGCAAGGAAAACAGTCATTATTTGCAGATGACATACTATATAGAGAGAACCCTAAAGAGTACACAAAAAAACTATTAGAACTAGTTTGTTATTGATGTATAAAAATACAACTGACTTATATTAGTTCTGTATCCTGCTACTTTAGTTCTAAGTCAGTTGTATTTTTATACATCAATAACAAACTATGAGAAAGAGAAATTAAGATGTCATTTACAGTAGCCTCAAAAAGTAGACTACATAGGAATAAGTTTCACCAAAGAAGTAAAAGACCTGTACTCAGACAATTAAAAGACACTGAAGAAAGAAACTGAAAAGGATTCAAATAAATGGAAGTATACTGTGTTCATAAATAGGAAGAATTAATGTTATTAAAACATCCATACTACCCAAAGCAATCTATAGATTGATTGCAGTCCCTATCAAAATACCAATGGCATTTTTCACAAAACTAGACTACTACTACAATGTATATATAATACAAATACCCAAATAGCCAAAGCAATCTTTAGAGAGAAGAATCAGGTTGAAGGTTCACACTATCTGACAATCAAACTATACTGCAAAGCTGCAGTAATTAGAACAGGATGGTACTGGCATGAAAACAGACATAAATCAATGGCAAAGATTAGAGAGCCCAGAAATAAGCCCACACCTGTATGTTCAGTTAAACCTATAACAAAGGAGGCAAGAATATGCAGTAAAGCCACTCTCTTTCATAAATGATATTCCATCCAGGTCAAGGGAAAACTGGACACATACAAAAAAATGAAACTGGGTCAATTTCTTAACACCATATGCATGAGTAAATTCATATGGATTAAGTATTTAGATCTAAGACCCAAATCCATAAAACTCCTAAAGAAAACAGGAAGTAAACCCTTTGACACTGTTCTGAGTAATATATTTTTGGATATGTCTCCTCTAGCAAGAGAAAGACCACCTACTAGATGGAAGAAGATACTTGCCAATGGTATAGATATATAATAAGGGGTTAATGTCTAAACTACAGAAGGAAGTCATAGTTTTTTTTAGCACCACCAGAAAAAAAATCTGATTAAAAAATGGGCAGAGGACTTGACTAGAAAATTTCCAAAGAGCACGTACAGATGGGTAATAGACATATAAAAAGATGCTCATCAGGGAAATGTAAATTAAAACCACAATGAGATATCACTTCCTACCTGTCAGAAGGGTTTTCATCAATAAATCAGCAACCGAGTGTTAGAGAGGATGTCACGTGGAGAAGAGGAACCCTGGCGTTCTGTTGGTGGGATTGCAAACTGGTGCAGCCACTATAGAAAACACTATGGAGATTCCTCAAAAAACTAAAAATAGAACTATCTTACAATGTAATAATCCACTTTTGTGTATTTATCCAGAGAAATCCAAAATGCAAATTTGAAAAGATACATGCACCCCTATGTTCACTGTAGCATTATTTACAATAGCAAAGATAAGGAAGCCACGTAAGTGTCCATCAACAGACAAATGGAAAAAGTTCATGTTATATGTAATGGAATACTTATTCAGCCATAAAAAGAATGAAATCTTACCATTTGTGACAACATGGATGGATTTAGAGGGTATTATGGTAAGTGAATTGTGCCAGAGGACAAATACCATCTGATTTCCCATATATGTGGAATCTAAAAAACAAGTGAAAAATCAGTTACATAGACACAGAAAACAAACTGACGGTTGCCAAATGGGAGGGTGGTTGGGAGGATGAGTGGAAAAGGTGAAGGGATTAAGTACAAATTGCCAATAATAAAGACAGTCACGGGGAGGTAAAATACAACCTATGGAAATATAGTCAATATCGTTAGGAGAGAGTGACACGGAGTGATTAGGTGCTCCAGGTAGCTGTCCTAAAACACCTCAGTGGAGGGATTTCAGTGAAATGTGTTTTCTAGCCAACACCAAAGAACAGACTGCCAAACAGTCTGTTCTTCGGGTTCTGAAATAAAATTTTGCTTTATCTACAGAGAGAAAAAGAAGGAATTGGAACGTGAAGAATTATGGAAAAAATTAGAGGAGCTAAAGCTAAAGAAAGCTCTGGAAAAGCAGAACAGTGCTTATAACATGCACAGTATTCTCAGCAATACAAGTAATGAATAAAAAAAAAGCCTGCCACTTCTGTTGGATAGGCAGTTTTGTACACTTTTTTGAAATATGTAAAAATTATGAAACAAACCTCATCAGTATAATTACAAGGCCAATTTTTTATGGCAACTGTAAATGAAAAACTATATGGACTAATAGCCCCGTGCTATCAAGGCCACAGTATATTGTAACATTTGTCTAATCATTGATTTATTGTGTCACTTCTGAAGTTTCACAGAAATGAATGAACTTCATCATCTATAATGAGTGAGATAATTATGGGAGTGGTAAGAATTATGACTTGAATTCTTTTTTTTTTTTGATTGTGTTGCACATAGATAAAGTAGTCTGCTCTGTATATTTTTCCCTTTTATAATGTGCTTTTCACATTGCTGCAGACCTTAGTTACATCCTAGGAAAAAGAGTATTTCCTGAAATAAAACTAAGGTATAACCCTTCCCCTTCCCTTAATCCCTCTCAGGAATGTGATGGGGGAATTACCTGCCCTAAACCTGCCTTTATTAGAGATATTGCTGTACTCTGGAGTTTGAGAAAAAACTTAATCTCCAGGCTTTTTAAAGCACAAAAATAAATAAAAGCTGGGAAAGTAAACCAAATTCTTCAGGTGGTTCCTCATGAATACTCCCCTTCATCTGCAACCCCCCCAGTGATGTGCACAGGTTAACGGAGGCAGCGCAGGTGAACACTCAGCCTGCCTCTCCATTCATTCCTCCTCCTCCTCCTCCCGAAGGCTGAAGGCAGGGCCCTTCCAGTCCTCACCACCTGCCTTTCCTCCAGTCCCTCCTGACCCAGGAAAGGGGGCTTTGAGTCCCACAGCGTGGTGACCCAGAGCGCGCACTGCCACTGCCTGGCTTTATTTAAAGGAAATGCAGTAGGCTTCCTCTGTCGAGTTCTGAGAAAGTTGACTATAGAGAAGTCTTGTATGTTTTTACTTGGTCAAGTATTTCTCACAAATTTTGTTATCAGAGTACCATTCCAATCTCTTGCAGTCGTGTGGAAACTGTTTTGTAACAAAAGATCTTCATTGGGGGATTGAGCAGCATTTAATAAAGTCTGTGTTTGTATTTTGCCTTACGTTGTCGCTGTTTTTTTCCAGCTCTCAGTTTAGCATCCAGGAGAAGCTGCCCCCTTTATATGTATACTTACATACATACATATGTATGTAAATAGAAAACTTGAAGGCAAGTTGTGGGAATATTCTAACTAAAAAATGGGAAGATTGTGACAAATTGAGTGTTCTGGCCATTTATCAAAGTACATCTGTTTCACAGAATATTTGCATAAAATTCTAAGTTCTAAATTATCCTTCATATCCCTTTATATTCAGAGGATGGAGTTAACTTACCTTAAATGTTAGTTTTAATTAAAATAGACCCAGGAGGATAAGTCTCAAAACCTGTAGTTTTTGTGATGGAGCCAAGTCAGAAGTCAGGCATTATTAAGTTTTTAACGACTGATGTCCGATTCCACCCTGTGATACGAGTGAAACACTGTGGCACAGGTTCCGCACACTTGTCCTAGGCCACTGTAAAAGCCCCTCCTGTCGCTCACTGCGGCTCCAGGAGCACCTCTTCCTTTTCACTGCGTGGCTCGTATTTTACACTGTGCTTCCACACGCACCTTACCTCAGGCCATCCAGGTCAGGGTGCTCCCGCCAGATGCTCCACGCTAACCAGGGCCGGCCGGTGCTGACAGCTGGTGGTGCGCAGGTAGAGGGGGAGCCCGCTGCAGGAGACAAAGCTTCTGCCTCTGCAGAAAGTGACAGTTAGGGCTGGATGTCTACTTTGTGGACATTTAGGCAGGTATGTCTTTGAAGAGCAGCCAGAGTGGACTTGGCCAAGCTGCAGCTGGTAGGTAGTTGTTAGGTTCTTTTCTTTGATGAGCTAAAAATGCTCACTTCCTAATTATCTACTTATTAAAAAGCACAATTAAGAAGTCTCAACTCTCTACAGTATAGAAAAACACAGTTTTAGGCTATTCATTGGAGCAAATTTTATTAGACATTTAATGAATGTTAAGTAATATTGAAGTGGTGTGTCGTCATCTTTAGAGATACTTTAAAAATACACACCTGTTTTCCAATACTGTTAATGTATATCTTTATGCCTTGTGGCTTTGCATTTGCCTTACACCAAGACTCTACGGCCACAAGACCTAGGCTGAAGTTTGAATTTGCCTATTCTTATGGCACAGAAAAGTAGCAGGGACTATTTCTTTACACAGGTAAAAAGCATAGTTTCTTGCTGCTAAATTAGACATGAGATTTTTAAAAATGCCTGCTTATACATTTGAGTTTTTCTCTTTCAATTAACCTAAAGGCAGGTTAAGAAATTCAGGAAATGCTACTAAGTCCTCTCTAGATGCAAAGGGCACGTAAATAACTTAAAACACTAGAAACATTTCATGACCTTAATCCAGCCTATGGCTGCCGTTTGAGATGTGTGGTTTTTGTCGAGTTAACATAGCTTATTCATGGGCTTGATCCATCAAGCTTCCTGCCCACCCTCCCCTTCCCTCGGACACAGTTGTGATGAACCTCGGGGGTCCAGACTGTCCTGGCAGGAGAGCAGGTTCGTGCCACCCTTGCTCTGGAGGTCACAGGATGCAAGTGCATGGGTGCCTACTGATCAGCAGATACTCATCCTGGCACACTGATTCCTTTTGTATTAACCTTTTATTTACCTGTTAATAAAATCATCAAAATACACTGAATAGGCACCTACTTTGTACATTTGTACTAGTGCTTTTGTGTGTGAATCACTCTAGACTCATGGTAGGTAGCTAATCAGTCCACAGGAAATCTAATTACTAGTGCGCAGTAGCTTTAAAAGTCTCATTTAACATCTAACAAATAAGAAAGCGACACAAAGGTGTTTGCCTCTCTGTGGAAAGTGCACAGGTTTCAAAGCACGCCCTACACATCTGGAGAGCCACGCCCTCCCCCATCCACTTTCAAAACCTCAGGGGAAAAAACAAGGTAAACAGCGGAGCCTTAATATCCTGTCACAGGTGAACCGTACACCAAACCGAAGTCGGCTTTGACAACCTTCACGGGACCGGATGTGTGTCTAATTCCATCTTCCCCAAACCCTATTTGCATGCCAGAGTCAAAATGTTCATTAATAATTTAAGTACTTAAATAACTTGTAGGTTATCCGTCGGGTGTGTTCATCAGGCTGTCCCTCCCGGCAGGCCCCGTCTGCGGGAGAGCGGGAGGGCCGGAGGGAGCCCGGGCCGCCCAAGTGGAAGCAAAGGCGACTTCCCTTAATGCGGGCAGTTCCATGACCGAGGCGGCTTCAGCTTATATGGTTCGTTGCCTGGCCTCTTTTTTTAAGGTATCTCTTCTTAATTTTGATCATCCATTTCACACTCAGTTTGGCAAACTCGGCTGCTTTAAATAATGCCAAGAAGGCTCCACAGAGAAGAGCGATTGTGTTCCAAGGATTGGCTGTGATTATCTGTAAAACAGAACCAACTCCAGTTCATCAGTTTGCCTCAGTTTTGATTCTTAGGCCGTACTGGTATCCCTGGGGTGGCAAGAAAACCCCCTGGGTTCTAAAATTTTAACTACACCTCGGACTTGCATGTCCACAGTGCAGTTTGAGGAGAAAAATACTAGGCCCTCCCTACAATAAAGTGGTTGATTCTGAAAGGAAAAATGTTTTTCGAAATAGCTCTGCACAAATATTCAGTACAGAGCTTCAATATTCTGGCCCACAGTAAGTTGCTTTGCCTTGAGACAAATTGCTCCAACACTACACCCATTCCCTGAGGAAGGGCAGCTCCTCTTGGTTCTTCCCTCTCAGTGGCCCACACTTCCCCAACCCAATCCAAGGGCCGCCCTTCCATGCTCACGTCACGGACCTCCGCCTCCGGGCCGTGCCCCCGCCTGGGACGCTTTCCTCCTACCTGAGTTACTACCCTTCCGGGCTCCTCAGAGCCTTCCTCTGTCCACTAAGCCAAACCCTCCCTCATCCCACTGTCTGCAGAGAGATTATCCTACTGTCTCCTTTCATAGTTACTGACTGACTGGCATTAGTCACTTTTTAGCTGTGGATGGCTTCCATGGTGAATGTTCAACTCTCCGAGGCCCACATCACGGATTTGAGTTCCCCATCATGCTAAATAGAGCACTTTTAAGTCCCAGTTTTAGCTGAGACGGTCTGAGCCTCAGGGTTCACCTATGCAAAACGGCTGCGTCACCTCCACTGTTCGGGACTGACTGCTGTGGAGCTGAGTGGCAAAGCAAGGCAGGCCCGAAACAGCTACCTCTTACTGAGTGAACCCAGGTTCAAACACACCTGATCACACGATCTGCACGTAGAGCTGAAGGTGTTCATTCTTCGGCCCAGAGGCCCATCCACTGAGTCTCCGCGTGAGGCTCTCTGTGCACGCCCTTGCCAAGCCACGATTTACAGTGGCAGTGGGTGACAATGGAGCACCTCCGTGCCCCAAACACCCTCCCTGTTTAAGTCTCAGCTCTGAAATGTCCTCCCCCAAGCCATGATCTCGGCAGGACGTTTTGTGATGACCTGCACGCCGATCGGTCCCGCTGGGACTGGTCCTGGCAGGCGGGTCTCTGGGATGCGTCTCCAGCAAAGCTGTCTCAGCGCCCCCTTCAAGACCGCCAGTCTGAGAATTTGGCATTAACTGGTACTCTTAATTTATTTGTACCTTTCTGCTCTCACCACAAGTAATCTCTTCCCCTGCAGATAACCATTTAGAAAGAGTGGCTTCCACATAGCAGTAATCTGGATATTAGCTTGACGCTTTCTACTCAGCTTATTCAGGTAATGACCACTAGGCAGCTCCTCTGTACCAAGCACCGTGCTAGTCACCAAATACATGATGATGAACAAGGCAGTCCCCACCTTCACAGGGTCACAGTCTAGTGCTGAAGTCAAGAAGAATTAAAACACAGATGCTACAGAACATAAATGTCACAAATATAAATGACAACCTGGGACTCGAGCTAGGAAAGAAGATGAACACAGCTCACAAAGATGAGCCCGAATGCCTCAGGGCTGGGAATTTGCTCTCTGTCTTAAGTACTACTCACATCTTGGACTTTCTGGATGAAAGGATCTTTCCATTCAAAGACCACGAAAAACAACTGGGCACTTCTTTCCTCGGCCGGCCTTTGGTCGATGTAGTTAACCACACTCGTCTAGGAGCAGAGGAGAGGAAGCAGGGTCACCTGACCTGGCCGGGGGACCGGAAAGCCCGGTGGGGGGGGGGGGACCTCAGACCTCGGCTCCCCTCCCAGCACCCTGGGCAGAGGGTGCGCCCGGTCTCCTCTCCACCACACCCTGCACCCGGCAACAGAGCCCAGGCCTTGCCTCGGTGTCCAGTGCTCTGGGGAAGCGAGGAGGGTCTGGGGTGTACGGTACCTGGTTTGGATCGTCACTGAGTAAACCGCATTCAAAGTACTGTGTGGGACTCACAATTGGAAGCCCAAAAAATCCTAAATTTCAACTATACTTGATCTTAAGAGCCGAGCATTTTAACCTCTGAGTCTGCAGGAGCCCGAGGCTGAGTGCTCCCTGTGCAGAGTTAGTTGTGTGCTTGGGGAGGTCTGGTCTCCGGTGACCGAAGGGCCGCACGGCGTCCCAGAGAGCAGACAGGTTCCGGAGACAGAGGCTCAGGCCCAGCCCAAAGGGTTGGGTTCCTCACCTGAACTGAGTCTCTGTTTTGCCACCCAGAAAGCAGGGACAAAATGCCTACCTCAGCCAGGGTCAGGGTCAAATGAAGCAATATATATATATATATATATATATATGAGAGTACCTTAAACTTTAACGCACGATATAAAAACATTTAAAATTTTGAGTTTGTGTCCCCTGCCAAATGACTTCCAATGGAGACTAATAAAAAGCACAGAAAACATTCTAAAATGTACGTAGGTTGGCTGGGGTTCTCGGGCCCCTCGGTCTCAGAGCACGGCCGGGGCTCCCAGGAGGGCCTGGGCAGACCGGGGTTGCAGCGGGTATACGAGGCTGCTCCTTCCTCAGCAGCTGGGGGGTGGGGGGTGGGGGCTGGGGGCTGGCAGAGGAGAAAGGGCTGGGCATTCCTGGAGGAAAGGGCGCAGTCAACACCCGGGAGGTGGCAGCTGACAAAGCGAGGAATACTCAATGGACCTATGGCCGCGGCTGGTACAGCCTTGGTGTAAACAGCCTGCCCCTGGAGGAAACCCGTCTCCGCACCCTTCCCGAAGCTCTTCCCAGGCAGTGCTAGGAGCCAGGTGCGGTAAGGACCAGGCCTGGACAAGCGTGTGGCCTCTGGCCAGTGACAGTCCTGCCGACCAGAGGGGGTCCTCTGACGCCAGCCCAGACCCTTCCCAATGCTGCCCCTCGGAGCCCAGCCCAAGTGGAGCACCTCCGAGGAGGAGCGGAGGGTGTGAGCACAGGGCCTGGCTCTGGGCCAGGGTGTGGGTTCGGGCGGGCGGAGAGCGCCATGGCCATGGCAGAAGCCCTGAAGGCGCAGTGAGGCCTTGCTTCCAGCGGTCATGACAGACGGCCGACCTGTCCCCTCGGTCCCCACCGACATGCCTTCGTCTGAGGTCCTCTGTCTCCCGCTGGGATCGCAGCCAGAGGCCCCCACGTCTCCTGGCCCCAGGCAGGGGCCGAAAGCTGCAGGACCGCCGCTCCCACGAGTACAAACTCACAGCGCGCACCCAACACCCGGGTAACTTCAGAAGTGATGTAACGTTACTATTACCGTCCTAATGCTGCGTGATCGTAAAACATTGAAAAGTAGGAAAAGTGGGATTAAAAAATACAAGAGGGAGAGTACTTGAGATCTTGCTCTCCGTTACGCTATCAGTTTGACTCAAATAAGCTTTTATAAAAATTTTTAAAAATACAAAGGAAAGCGAGCATTCCACTCCCACATCCCAACGGACCCTCAGGCTCACCCCACTTCACGGCCACTGTCCCTAGTCCCTCCGCCCTGCCGACACCTGACCTTCCGGGCGGCAGCCAGCCTCTCCGGGCAGAGCAGCGGGGGCAGACGCAGGGCTGAGAACACGGTCTCCGCACAGCGCAGGGGGCTCTGCTCCGCGGCCCCGCCCCCCACCAAGTTTTGGGAGGCCGGGCTGTAACGCAGGGGGAGGACCCGGCAGGGGCGTGGCCTGCGGAACACGGGAAGTCCCGGCTGGGTCCGTTCTCAGCCTCCCGACCCCAACGCCGACCCCAACGCCGTGCAGACGCCTCTCCTCTGCGAGGCTCCCCGTCCCCACGCCCAGGCCGGACGGCACCAGCAGCTCAAAGCAGACCCCGGCGCCATCTACCTCCTGCCGGAACTCCACCGCTTCCCGCCCATCTTCCTCTTTGGTCTCCACCAGGGACATCTTGACCCAGGTTCGGAAGCCTCCGGAGAACTTCCAGCTGGAGTAGGCGCTCTCGCAGGCCTGCATGAAGCCCGCCCTGTCTGGGCTGGGGGACAGAGAGGAAAGGTCCAGGCTCATCAGGCCTGACGGCAGGATTCCGGTGTGGCCAGACCCAAAGTCCAGCCCCTCCTTCAACTGGCCTGTCGGCTGGCAGCACCAGGATGCTGCCCAGCGGCTCCCTCCTCTCCGGGGCCCTCAGACAGCCCTGGACGTCAGCAGCCCCCAGCCGCCCTCCCTGGCCTGCCAGCCCGCCGGCCCCCACCCCACACCCCGCCCCGCCCAGGGACACGCAGGGCTAGAGCATGACGGAGAGTGGGTAGGAGGCCGCCGGGGACTCCGGAAGGCCACCTGTGCAGGAACTCCTGGAAGGACGAGAAGAGCAGGTAGTCGATGGCGCTGAAGTCCTCGCTGCTCTCGTTCAGGCGGAACTGGAGGAAGACCAGCTCCCGCTTCTTCACTTCCCGGGGCCCCCGCACGATCAGGGCGGATTTCTGCAGAGACACCAAGGCCCGAGTCTCAGCCGTGGGAGGGCGGGCTGGCTGCTGCTCAGCCTCAGGCCTACAGACACTGCAGAGTCCGCCTGGGGAGCCACAGAGGCCCCGAGGTGACCACCGGCCATGCCCTCCTGCTCAGCGGACCCAGCTGCACCTGCACGGGGCGAGTGCAGCCCGTCCTGCGCCCCCCACGCTGCTCCTCGCTGGTGGCTGTGCTAGGGAAGCTCCCTGTTGAGAGAGGATATTAGGTTCCGTCTGTCGCATGTGCAAATGTCTGCCTGTCAGCCACTTTCCTGTGAACTCTGCTTCTACCGTCTTTTGTTTCATGAAGTTCTAAATTTGATATCATGAAACCTGTAAATCTTTGCTTTTATGGCTTCTGGGTTTTGCTTGCGAAGGAAAACCAAAACTGTTGTACATCAACATTCTCCTGTATTTCCTTATAACATCTTCTCAATCTTTGTACATTCAGACACAGCCCTGCATGTGGTGTGGAGGGGAGTCTAAGTCGCACCCCCGCGGCGGAGATGCAGGTTTGGCCGCCGTGGGCCGCCTGACCGAGACATCAGACCGAGAGGTCCCCTGCACGCCGTCTAATGCACTTTCAAAGCAGCTCAAGTTCCATGAAAAAATCAACTGGGACTTCTAACTGATGGTGTTAGATTGCTAGCTTTAATTTGGGAAAAATATCTCTACATCATCGACTTTATAAATGCTCCGCAGACACCTGAAGCATGAGGATTCTGTCAGGCGCACTTGCTCCGAACACACTGTGCTCGTCAGCTGTGGCCCCTACTTCTGTCCCCGACCCGTGAATTTCTGAGGTGTCACCCCTGCTCTAAGGGGATGGTATTTTCTGTTTCTAGCAGGTACTGCCTAAGGCATACAACCGGCGTGCCATTTTGCACATAATGACAGATTTATGGCCTTTATGGCCGTTAAACCTTCTCAGTGGACGGTGGTGGAGTGGAGCCTCTTACCCACACTAAACATCCCTCTTTTACCCCGCTGCACCCGAAATCCCTTTCTGATGGCAGCTGACGTGCTCGCCCACTTCTGGTCCCTGTCGCATTAGCCCAGTGACCACTCTGCCCGTCTATGTATTCTCAGCCCTTCCATGCCACATTCGGTGGCAGCAGAGAATGCTCACTGTCCCCAGCCTCCACTGCGCCCTCTTCTTCCTGCAGAGCCAGCGCCGCTTCCTCGTCCCCAGACGTTAGCGGAACACGGTGGCCCCGCCCGACCCTCACTGCTGGCCTCACACGTGGGCCTGTGAGGAAGTTCCCGGAACGTGCGGTGACTCATGCCTCCCAGTGGGCCTCGTGCCCTCTCCGTCCTCCCGTGAGCCAGCAAGTGCACACAGGCTGTGAGCCAGCGCCGACCTCAGGGGCCAGGACAGTGCCCCGGGGATGGCACGGCGACTGGTGCACACTGACTGTCCCCAGTGGAAGAAACAAACTTCTCAGCCTCTGTGTCTGCCCGGGGTGGTGTGCTTTGTGCAGTGGCTTAGCCTAGTCTGTAACCATCTCAGAGGTTGTTTTCTGGGACTGGGTGCCATGGCAACAAGCTAAAAAGGAGGCATCAGCGTAACACAAGGACCCTGCAAATACAGCAGGCAGGGAGGAAACAAAGGCGGGTCCTGCAGACTGAAAAGGTCGAGCCAGAGCAGAGCATCTGGTAGACACGAAGTGGATTAAACTGAGGGGCGGGGAAGGAGAGGGAGAACAGAAAGTGAACGAGCGTCTGAAGGCTGACCGAGTAGGGCCAGATGAGACGCCCGGCTGGCCACAGTCACGTGGACTCAGCGGGACACAAACAGCCAGAAACCTACATTTCTGAAGATGTCTCACTGCAAACAAACGGGCAGGAGAAGGAAAATGACCAGCCAGGCGCCCAGTCCATGCCCCTCCAGCTCCGCAGCAGAACTGGACACCCAGAGCTGTGTGGCCCGGGGTGGGGATGTCTTCAACGTCCACTCTGCAGAGGACCACTGCCAAGGCAGGACCACCGCCAAGGCAGGACCACCGCCAAGGCAGACCCACCCAGGGCACGGGGCCAGGGGCAAGAGGGGACTCCTGAGGTTGCACAGCCCCCCTTCCAGCAGCTGTGGTGCTGCTCTTTCCTCCCTCCTCGCCCCGCTCCGTCCCGGGGGTAGGGGTTGAGGGAGTCCTCCTGCGGGTCCCTGAGACCTGAGACCTCCGCCAGGGCTGTGGGCCGGAGGCGTGGGGGCCTGGTGCTTAGGGAGGGGATAACTCTTAGCCAAAAGCCCCGTCTAGAGTCAGAGAAGACTCAGCGTCCCCAGAGCTAGAGGCAGCATTGCAGGCAACGGAGTCTACACGGGAACAACTCTCCTGTTGTGTCGACCCCGCTGGTTTTTATACCTAGCGGCAGCAGGAACAACTGGCGTAGCCCAGGGACTCCCGGTAGGGGCACTACTCCGTGCACCACCCCACGCCGAGGGGGAGGACACGCGGAGCCCGGAACCCAGGCGCACAGCGCTCCTGCTGCACCCAGCTCTTCACTACAATTCCTCTTCATTTAAATTCGCTTCTGTTTCCCTCGAGTCCATTCTGCTTATTCCTCTTGGTTCTTTCATGTGTTTGGTTTCATGTCTAGTGACCCTCATTGTCCGGCCTAGTTTCTGGATGAAGGATTAGGTGGACGAGTTAGGTCTGGGGGGGTCTCTGGGGGGCGGGGCATTCTTTCTACGCGGCTCTCAAACAGGCTGGCCCAGCCTGGGGCTGACTGTAAGGGGCGATGGGCCGGCAACGCCAGCAGGTGGGCACTCCCTCCGCCCATTTCTATGGGAGGGGGCCCTCGCGGCAGGTCTCTATCCCCGTCCACCAAGGGGGTCCGGTCTCCAGTCCTGCTCCTCCTCTCCCTGCTGCCGCCCCAGCGCCCAAGCAGGGGACCTGCCCGCAGCTCACGCGGAGAGCAGCTCCAGCGCCTTTCACGCAGAACTGAACACCACCCCCAGCAGCTCTGCCAGCCCTGGGAGGGCACAGGGCGCGGAGGCCCAACCAACAGGGGACCCCTAATTTTCACCCTGCCGACCACCGCTGGCAGCCTGCCCCCCCTTGGCCTCGCTGACCCCTGGTGGAGCCGGGAGGAGAGCCCCCCACCCCACCCCTCCGCAGCAGTCCTCGCCGGCGCCCGCCTTCGGGTGCGGGTTTACTCTGGTTTGTTTGCCCCATCAACCCGACCCGTTTGCGATTTATATTTCACATCTGCTGCTCAAAACTCCTGATCAACCGGTGACGCCCTTTCTTAGCTCGCAGAGCTAAGGTGAGTATTTTATTTTACTCTGTTTTGCAGGAGTGAGAATCATTTCCGTGGAATTTTAGGAGGAGGTCTGGAATAAAGATGAACAAAATTCACCTCAAGACCTCCCAAAGCTCCCTACCACCCCAAAGATCACCCCAAAGAGCAAGCCCTGTGGCGCAGCCTGCCGCCCTCGCCTGGCCGCTGCTTCCGCGCACCGCGCCACCTCCCACCGCGCCCCAGGGACACGGGGCGTCCGGAACCAGCCCTTCCGGAAACGTCCGGGTCCCGGTGGCCCAGACACGCGCACTGCTGCTCCGCAGTCTCGGGGCAGAGTCTCTGCCTAGAAAACCTTCCCTTCCGCGCTCTGACCAAGAAAACGCGACGCAGCCCGCCTCGGTCCTTGCGGAAACAAGGATACAAGGACATGGGACACAAGTCAAGACATAAAAACACAAACCCCCTGTTCTGGCTTCACACCCCGACCAGGCCAGGCGCCGCTCGCTCCTGCGAGTCGCCCCGCCCCCGCGGAGCTGCGCAGCTGCACGTGCGCGTCAGTAGGGCCAGCGCGGTCCCTGCTCCCAGACCAGCGCTCCAGCTTTACATGGGGTCTGCACCCCGAAGCATGAATGGATGTCAGGCCCACGCTCCTGAACGATGGGTCAGCAGGCCCCACGTGGAACCTAGCAATCCACGTGTTCACACAGCACACTGGCAATTCCCTGAGCAGCGGCTGGGGGCCCCACTCCACCCTGACACAAAGCCCCACCCCGCAGACAGCCCACACTCCTCCCGTCAAGGTCAGGATCTTAATCGCACTGTAGACAGTCCCCAGGGCCACCCCGACAAGGCTGAGTGCAGGCAAACCCGCCAAGGCCACGACCCTTATAGGACTGAGGGCCAAGGATGTGGGCAGGGCCACCTGGCAGAAAGACCAGGGTGGACAGGGCCTTGGGTGCGGGGCCGACAGGGCACGCTGCCCAGACCCAGGGGTGCGTTACCAGGGTCTGGTTGGAGAAAGGGTCCGTGTAGTTGATCCTCTGGGTGGTGCACTTCACGTCCCCCGGCTGGCCCGGGCTCCTCAGAGGGGGGATGACCTCGTAATGGTGCTTGCAGCTGAGCAACTGGGCCTGACCAGGGTACAGGGCAATACCTGGGGGCAAAACGGAAAAGTGGGTGTCAAAAGGCACAGTCCCTGCCCACACCCCTAAAATCATGTCACACATTTTTTTCACACCCACCAGCAACCTAGGTTCAGGACTCCCTGGGTGACCGCAGAGGAGGGAGAAGAAAGGGGTTACAGAGGGTAGGGAGCCATACCCCTGCCCGCAGGAAGCCCCCCTCCCGTGAGGGAAGGGCACAGCCCCCCTCAGAAAGGCCCCTGCAATGCAGCCTCCCCTGCGCCTGCGCCAACACCCTGCTCTGGGCCCTCCAGGGCCTCGGACTGAGCCAGCCCCCAGGCCCCCTACCCATCTGCAGTCACTGGGAGGCCCCGGGCTGGGGGTTGCCCCCAGACCTGGTGTTCTCTCTCATCTCCTGCTCTGCCTGGACCTCCAGGTGAGCAGGTTGCCTCCCGCCAGTCCCTCCTTGGCCTCCACCGAGGCTCCCGCTCACGCCCTGCTGATGGAGGCTGCTCCGGGGGCAGAACCACTGACGGCAGCACGTGGTCCCAGACCCCAGCAGGGCTGAGACCAGGAAGCAGGAAACAGGGTGAGCCGCAGACAAAGACAGCAGAACAGACACGCAGAGAAGAGGGACAAACCCAGGACAGGCAAAGACAGGCCCGGGAGCCGTGGCCTGGATGCCTGTCGAGAAGCCCCAGGCAGAGGAGACCCGAGACTGGCTCTGCCCTGGGCGCAGGCCATCGGAGGGTCACTCGGGGGCATCCTGTTGGCAGAGCCCGAGCACACAGAGCTCAGCTCCCAGAGCCCTGGGCCAGCCCTTGCCCTGGAGCAGAGATGCCAGTTCACTCAGGGACTGGACCCCAGCTGTGTCAGACGAATTGTGCGGCCTGGAAGCCCCTCTCTGGGCAGGGCTCCACTCCTTGGGATGGCTTTTGCCCCCCCTCCCACCCTTAACTCGCACTTCTCGCACTGGCCCCTGGCCCCGGTCAGGCTGGACTCAGCCACCCCCGGTGCTGCCTCCGTTCCTGCTGGTCCTGCTCCCAGGAGAACCTTCTCAAACTCTGCCGCCTCTGTGCAGAGCACTCCTTGCCCACCTGTTTCTGCGGAGGCCACTCCAGGCTCTGTCCCCCCCTCTCCTTGGACAGGACACACTCTGCAGGGTGCCAACGGCAGCTCTCTGGGTGTGTCCCCCACACCAGACTGTGCTGAGACTTCCCCCACCCCGCCTGCCCGGTGCGCCCAGCCAGGGCCCAGGAGTGCAGTGGCGGCTCAGGGAGTGTCTGCAAACAGACGCCCCAGCCCTGCCCCAGCCCCGACGCCCGTCCTAGCAGGCTCTACCTGGGGCATCATAGAGGTCCACCTCCTTGTAAGACACAGACATGACCGGGTGCTTGAGCTTCTCGCGGAAGTCTGTGATGGTCTGGTAAACCAGGAAGACGGCCACGGCCATGAGCAGCAGGTAGATGAAGATGAGCAGGACGGAGAAGACGTTCTTCAGGCAGGCCTTGCTGACGCGGATGCTGCTGGAGGCCGACCCACCGTCAAGGGCTGAAAGACAATGACACACACACGTGACCCGGAGGGCAGAGGCAGGTGCAGCAGGGGAGGGGGACAACCCCCGGGCCCCTTACCTGCCTTACCAAGGAGGCACACCTGCTGCACACCCAGCCTCCCCACCTCAGCCTCCACCCACAAACCCTCACACACGGTCCTCACCAACATTCACTGTGCAACCACTCTGTGGGAAAAGGGACCCGGGGCTGAAGGAGGCTCCTCTCCAGATGGACAGAAAATTACATTCCAACAAGGGAGCTGGCCCCAACCCACCTCTCCGGCCCCACACCCCAGCGTGCCCTCAACCCTGAAGCCTGTGCACTTTTCCTCATTGCTGGTTTCGGTTCAGAAAGGCATTCCCTCAAGGAAGCCTTCCCTGAGCCCCCGACTTTATTTGGGCACCCCTTCCTCAGTGCTCCCCGGGCAGCCACATATCGTCCACTGTCACCACTCTGCAATGTCGCCGTCCGTCTACAGGGCTCTGATCCCCTAGGCTCTGAGCTCCATGAGGGTGGGGACAAGGGCTAGTGCTGTCCACACCGAACCCCTCGCCCTTCACTGCAGTGCCTGGAACAGACCAGGCGTTCCGCATGTACATGGTAAGTGACTGAACAGCTGATCAAACGTGTCCCGATGCTGTCCCTGCAACACCGCCCGGCCTCGCCTGCCTGCTCTCAAGCCATCCCGGCCTCCATCACTCTGTTTTACGCTGGACTGTGCTCCTGTTCCCTACAGTTCATAGGTTGGAGCCCTGACCCCAGTGTGACTGTACTTAGAGGCCGAGTATGGAAGGACGTGAGGGAGGTTAAACGAAGTCGCATGGGCAGGGCCCTCCTCCACAGCAGGGGTGTGCTTGTCAGCAGGGAAGAGACGGGGAAGCCCACGGTGACCAGGGCGCACGAGGACACATGAGGACACACGGGGAAGGCTGCCACCTGCGGGCCCAAGAGAGGAGCCTCAAGACAAAGCAAACTTGGTGACACCTTGTTCTTGGACTTCCAGCCTCCGAAACTGAGAAAACAAGAACTTCTGCTGTCTGAGCCCCCAGCCTGGGGCACTTCGAGGCAGCAGCCCAGGCTGCTCGCACGGCACTTGCTCCCGGGGCCTCCGGCTCCCCCGAGAAAAGCGCCGTGTCCTCCGCAGCAAGGGCACACGAGGCTGTGGACGGAGTGGAGCTTCGATGTAAGTCCATAAAGACATGCGACTGGCTTCCAGCTTCCACCAGAGGAGTGTCGTCACACCACCCTCCTACAGATGACAACTACAAAATCTGGACAGAACACTTAATGCTATTTGAAGGCACTGGAGATGACCAGAAGCACGCAGAAACAGGAAGACAATCTACTCTGGAAGAGGAGGACGGCGTCAGAAGAAAGGAAACAGAAGAGAGCAGGACCTGGTGAGATTTTCAAAGTGGCAGCTTTTTGCCTGCGGGCATTCACCGACCTCCACAAGGTGCCATTCACGGAAACAGTGCCCTGAGTTAAGGGCTGGCAGAGCAGCCAGAAAGTGATGGGGGAAGCCCTAAAAGGGAAGGACGCACATGGGATGGGGTAAACCCCCAAACCTGCAAATAAGGTATGTTCCGATCAGCTTTGGACTCCAGGGGCCCAGCAGAAAAGCAGCAGCCGGCAACCGAAAGCGCTGAGAGGAGGTTTCCGCTACTGCCGATGCAGAGGGCACGGAAGTCGGGACTGAGTCTCGCCGCGTTAACTGCCGGCTCAGACAAAAACTCCGCTTCAGAGAGTCATAACCGAATTCAGAGGCTCTTTAGTGCACCATTTATGACGTCTAGTGCTCATTCAAAATGGACTAGACAGGGGAAAGGCAAGGAAACGCGACCCCTACTAAAGGAAAAAAAGCAGTCTATAGAAACCAACAGCATCCTGGCCGGGTAGCTCAGTTGGTCAGAGCATCATCCCAATATGCCGAGGTTGCAGGTTCGATCCCGGTCAGGGCACGTACAAAAATCAGCCAATCGAGGCATAAATAAGTGGAACAACAAGTCCACATTTTCCTCTCCCCCCACCTTTCCACTCTTTCTGAAGTCAATAAATAAAAAATGTTTTTAAAAAGAAAACAATGCTAAGGTGACCCAGATATTGCAATTAGCAGACAGGATCTTTTTAGCCTTTAAAAGACCCAAAGGAAGATATATACATAAGAAATGAACAGAGGAGAAACTTAGAAATAGAAACTATGAAAACAAACTAAATAGGAATTTTAAAGATGAAAAAAATTTCATAAAATCAAAAATTCGCTGCAAAATCTTTTATTAAAAGATTAACAATCTTCCATTAAAAGATTGTACTTATTTATTTTTAAAAAGAGGAGAAGGGAGGGAGAAAGAGAGGGAGAGAAACATCAATGTGTGGTTGCCGCTCAGATAACCCCAACGGGAACCTGGACCAAATCCCAGGCTTGCGTCCTGACTGGGAATCGAACCAGCAACCTTTTGGTTCACAGGTCGGCACCTGATCCACAGACCCACACCAGCCAGGGCTCACTGCGTAATTTAAACAGCACAAGGTGGCAGAAGTAAAAGCCAGTACAATGGAAACTGAATGAACAGAAACGATCCATCTGGAAGAAAAGACTAAAGAAAAGATGAACAGAGTCCAGGTAGCTGGGCAACAACACCCAGCAGTGCAACAGCACGTGACCGGAGAGACACAACGGGTCAGAAACGTGCTTTTTAAAAATAATGGCCTAAACTTCCCAAAATCATAGAAAAAATATCAATTTTCCAATCCTAAAGACTCAATTCATTCCGAGCAGGATAAATAAGACAACCACTCCTAGGCAAATCATCGTCAAACTGACAATGGAAAGATAAGAGAAAAATCATGAAAGCAGCCAGGAAAATAAGACATATTATAAATGGGATATTGTATCTAATGACAGGTAACTTTTGATCAAAAATGATGGAGACTGAAGACAGTGAAATGTTTTTAAAGGGATGAAAGAAAAAAAAATCTGTGTACCACCGAGAATGGAAACTAACTAGCAAAACTAACTTTCAAAAATGAAGGTGAAATACAGATGTACTCAAAAACAAAAGCTGAGAGAATTCATCACCAACAGACCTGCACTGCAAGACCTTCTAAAGAAAATTCTCACAGGGAGATGACAACAGATGGTGACCCCCAAACATACACTTGAAACAAAGGTCACTGGAAATGTTAAATAGGCGGGCAAATACGTACTTTTTAAATTTAAGGTCGCCATGGGAAATATATACAATACCGTGAGGTTTGTGACTTGCAGGAATGCAGAACAGAGAAACAAAACCCATATGAGACAAAGAGAAAAATAAAAGACCCGAATCCAACCACCCTGAATAACTACATTAAATGTAAATGAACCAAACACTCCAATTAAAAGTCAGGGACTGTCGGCCTGGACTGAAAACAAAGCCCAACTACATGCTCTCTACAAAAAGTGGACTTGAGTGATGTCAGCATCACAGAAAAGTGAGACAACTATTGCTTCTCCCCTTAAATTTACAGCAAGTTGGACCACTGTAACTCCTGCTCAGCACACGCACCTGAAAAGTCCACGTCCCCAGGGGTCTGATGGCGGGAGCACTGGCCCGAGCAGGGAAGGCGGCACACGGGGGAGAACCTGGCCGAGCACCCCAGATGCAGGTTGGTGCATCTCCAGACAGGACAGGACGGGGGCAGCGAGGACTAACTAGAGCTGCAGGCAGTTTCCCTCCCAGAAAAGATATCTCCCTTCCCCTTCTCCGCAGGGGCAGAACGAGGTAGAGGGGGCTGGGAAGCTGCAAACAAAACAGTGGAGCTGACAGCCATTACCAGCAGGGGGCAGAGCTGTGAGATGCCAAACCTGCCTCCTCTCTCTCGGAGCCCTGACAGCGCCCAGTGGAGCCAAAAACAGAGAAAACAGGAGGTAGCTCCTGGAGCTCACAAAATCAGTTCTCCACCACCCACAACATTCTCCCACCACAGTGGCGTGTCCCATAACCAAGGTGAGCAGGTCACAGAACACCCACCCCCCACTGGGTACACGGCACTTTCCGCAACTGAGACACCACTTCACAGCGATCCCAGGTCACCTGCAGTGCAGGTAGAAGAAAACCAAAACCTGCGCTATACCGCCATCTACTGGAAAACGAGAGAAAGAACCCTACCTATAACCTGCTGAACTGCTGAGGGCAAAACAGTGTGCACACAAGAAAAGAGACCACTAGCTCAAATGCTCAGAGAATCAACACATCAAATACCATGGACACCTGGAGCCATCTGGAAGCACAGAAGCAAAATGAAAAGACTCCTGAAACTGAACTTAAAGTCATGGAAGACTGTGATTTAAATGACAGAACTGAAGATTGTAATTAGAAAAATCCCAGTAATATGTGAGAAAACTCAAAAACACAGTTCAATGAGTTTTTAAAAATTAATGAATAGCCCTGGCTGGTGTGGCTGAGTGGATTGAGTGCTGGCCTGAGAACCAAAGAGTCACTGGTTCAATTCCCAGTCAGGGCACATGCCTGGGTTGCGGGCCAGGCCCCCAGCAGGGGAGCATGAGAGGCAACCACACATTGATGATTCCCTCTCTTTCTCCCTCCCTTCCCCCTCTCTAAAAATAAATAAAATATTTTTTTAAAAATTAATGAACAAAAGAAGTATTTACCGAAGACAATAAATCTATAACAAAGAACCAGAAAGAAATTCTGGTGCTGAAGAACTCAAAACACGAGATCAGGAGGCATTAGAGAGCACTGGAAACAGATCAGTCCAGATGGAAGAGATAACTGGCAAACTCAAATATACAAACCTAGGAATGACCCACGACAAAGAAAGGGAAGAACTAAGAGTTAAAAAAACCCAACAACTCAGAATTATCTAACTACATTAGAAAGAGCCACTTAAGGATAACAAGGAACAGAGAGCCCACTCAAAGAGGTCATTGATGAGACTTTCCCAAGACTATGAAAGGAGCTAAATGTTAGAGGAAGCTAAAAACACAACCTA